AGAATTAAATAATTTTGATCATTATAAAACAAATATTGCTGTAAGATGGTTTTTTTAAATATTATTATTAAATATTCTCTTGTAGTGTTTAAAGGATTTGAATATTCATCCTGTTCGTGTTACGCATAATTCTCAAACACATAAAAGAGAAGAAGCTATTTTATTTTTATATAGTTGGCCAAGTTCATTTATTGAATATCTTGCTGGTGCTAGTATTCTTAACCCATTATCAAGTACAACTTATCACCCGTTTGAACTTATTTTGAACGAATTAATATCGATGAACATCTAAAAGCGAAATGTTTAATTAATGAATGTGGTAAAGTTTTAGTAACGCCACTTCATTCAAGTTCATCGTTAACACGACACTTTCGTTGTGTACATAAATTAAATGCTTTTAAATCAAAAGAAAAACTTGTCAATTGATCAACTACAAAAGAATCTCATTATAACTGAAGAAAAAAACATGATCATACTGTTATAGTAGCTATCATTGAAGATTGTTGAAAGTTTAACGATTTTTCCAAGACAGACTTGAAAAAATTTTTACAATTAGCTTTGTTAAGTAAGAAAATACTGATTACTATCATATATTTCCTATGTTCATCTATGTCCTATTTAGACTATACAATGCTTCATTGTAATACAATAAGTAAAAAATTAAAACATCTTCATGCAAAACATTTCATGTCATTGATAATGAGTGACGAACAGTGGTTTATCAATAGTAACAGAAGCAGTTTTTTTTGTTCAAATTATAGCAGAAATGTTCAAGATTTTTCTTCAATCAAGAGACTTTTGGATTATTCTTCAGGGTGGTCCACCTTTGGGTTCTATTGCCGTGAATATGTTAATTTTTCATTATTAAAAGGTTTTTATTGTTTTAAAAAAAATAAAATTAAAAATCGGTTAAAGATGTTTGGAAGATTTGCAAGATTAATTCTTTTGAAAAAAACTTTTTTAAACATTAACACCAGCTTTTTTAAAAGCTTGAATAAATTGTTGTGGATCTTGTGCTCCACTAAGTTCAATTTTATCATTAATACGAAAATGTGGAACACCAGAAATTCCATGTTCTTGACTTTGATTAATTTCTTCTCGAACTTCTTTTTTATATTTATCTGATTGAAGAAATTGTTTAATTTCATTTGGATTAAATCCAACTAGTTCAGCAGCACGAATTAAAACTTGATGATCCGATAAATCTTGTTCTTGTTCAAAATAAGCTCGAAATAAAATATTAATTAAATCATTTTGTTTTTTTTCTCCATTTTCTTGTTGTTTAGCATAATAAAGAAGACGATGTGAATCAAATGTTGAACCAACTTTTCCACCAAATGAAAATTGAATTCCTTCTTGTTTACCTGTTTCAATCATTTGTGGTAACATTTGTTTAATACGTGCTTCACCAAATTTTTGTTTATAACGATCCATCCGATGGAAGATTTGGATCTAATTCAAATGGATACCAAGATATTGATACATTTATATTCGATGTATCAATTTGAGAGAGTGCTTTTTCTAAACGACGTTTTTCCCACATAACACCATGCTAAAATACTCAATATTTATATTGATTTTTTAATCTAATTTGATTATCCTTACGACAAATATTATCACTAACAATATGAATTTTAAGTAGTTGTTTCATTGCCATTCTCAATCTATAATATATAAATATATTTAAAATAAAATCCTTCATATATACATATATATTTATTTATTTTAAACAAAACTCTGTTTTTTTTTGTTTGGTTGTTTAATAAAAGTAAATCGATAACAAATATTAGTTAAATAAAAACAAACAAACAAATGTTTATTTCGTTTTATAACAATTTTCATGCTAATCCAAGAGACCATGCAAATTCAAATTGTTGAATTTTTTTACAAATATGAATTTGTATATCTTCTGATAATCTATAACCTTTTGTTAATCCTGAATAAATATATGTTAAATCAAAACATAAAAAAGGATGTTTTTGTTGATGCTGATGATGATTCACGACAAACTTTTTTTGCTGTTTGTTTTAATACTCTTATTGGTATTGTTGTTATTGTTGATGAATGATCATCATTATCATTAACAATAAGTCCAACATCAAATGCAATATCATAAAAATATGAAAACAACATAAATTGACATTTGATCAAGACCAACAGCTGGTTGAATATTTAAACTAACATAATGATCAATAGCAGACATACATGAATAAAATCGTTCATCATGATTAATAAATTGATGAGATTCAATTAATTTTTAACATTTGTTTGATTAATAAATATTGTTTGACGTGCAATCATTAAACCATAACCTAAATATGAACTTAAATAAAGTTTTATATCACGACGAAACATTCGAAATTGATGCATATATTTCATAATAATTTCTTCTTCAGTTAAATTTTTTTTTTGGTTCATTTAATTGTTTAACTAGTTTTATTTCTTCTAAACCAGCTTGTTCAACATTAATTCTTGGCATTTGTTTCTTTTTTTTGAGTAATGGATCACGAAATGTATTGATTTATTCCGTTTCAATTGGTTGTTGTGCTTTTAATAATAAATTTAATTTTTCAGCTAAACTTGTATTTGATAATGATGGATTATAAGTTATTTGAGTTGAACCATCACCTAAATCGAGTGCAGCTATTCGACTACCATAAAATTGTTCATCTTTTAAATAAACAAATGTAAGCCCAGCATCAATATCTTCTTCTGTTTCATTCATTATTGCAATATCCATTTTTGGACGATAAAATCCATATTTTTTAAATGTATTTGAAACACTTTCTAATAAAAGTTTTTGTTTTGTTTCACTTAATAATCTTAAACCAGCAGTTGCACGTAATACTAATGGTGTACTTCGATGTTTAAATCGACTAACTTCTTGATCAGCTATCTTTAATAAATTATTTATTTGTTCTTCAGCTTTTCATATATATCATTCGCAAATGATGATAAACCTGGTTTAAGTTCTTTAAATATTTCATTTTTTAAAACAAATGTATCACCATTTTCATTATCAACTGATGCACGAAATTTATAAACATGTATACGTGTACCTATTCAACCAGCATCTAATACTAATACATATGAATATGGATCAAGAAAACGTAATAATGGTGATAATGATAATGATGAATGTAAAATAAATAAAAATGTTATAAAAATAAATATAAATAATAAATTTCGTATTAAATTAGAATTTTTTTGATGATGGTGTACGACGATTAAATAATGAAATCATTTTTATTTCGATTTTGTTTTTTTTTAATCTTTGACGAATTTCTTGCTCGGACAATGTTTGTTCTTCAAAATAAGCTGTTGTGGTAGTACTAGTGGCAATTGTAGACATTGGAGATATTCAGTTTTTTTTCTTCTTCTTTGTACTCGATTCAATTTAACCCATTATGAACCAATCTAATCATAAAATTTAAATGAAATTTTATTTTCATTATTGATTGAGTACTTACTCAAATAACAACAAAAAACAATTCGTCATTGAGTGATTTGTTAATTAATTTAGCCAATAAATAATTAAAATAAAAGAGAATAGTGTCATCTATATAAAAAAAATACTTTCATTCATTTTATTGTGGTTTTCAACTGGGAAAAATTAATGAATATTGATTTATTAGAAAAGATTTATGCATGGGAAGATAGCCCGAAGTTTGCTCTTTCAAAACAATATGATTTTTAATTTAATACCTCATTTTTAACCAATATTTTTGATGATTTCGGTTGAAAAATATGCATTTTTTAGATAAAACGGAAAATATTTTTCGTTTTTTCTCTGTTTATACATTTTTGATCGTCTGGCGAAGAATTCTCTGTCGGCATCCATTCTATATATTAAAATTTTTTTTTGTTTGAAAGAGCATGTTAAGATAGAGCGCATCACAGAGTCGTTTTTTTAAATTAAGCTTAATTTTTGTTATATATACAGACATAGACACCCATTTTTGGCGCGTTTTTGAGTCATTGAACTTGTGATCCCCTATCTCCGCTAACAAAGTAAGAATTTTAAAAAAAGAACTCTGAGGTGCCCTGCATCCAGAGATGCTCTTTCAAACAAAAACAAGAATTTAAATATATTGACAGAGCCTGAACCGAGAAATCTTGTAAGCAAAATGCGCTATTTTTTGACCCGTGTTTGGTTCCTATCTGTGTCAAACATCATGGTATAGAGCTGAAAATTTTACCATAGCGTCCTCACTACAGCCCCAACATAACCTGAAAATTTCAGGCCATTTCACTTGACTTGATATGAAATTCGTTTTTTGAGGCGGAGGCCTTAATGAATGTTGATCATGATAAACAATTAGCTTGACAAAAACTTTTAGCAGACAGTCGAATAGAATCGACTTCAACTATTCTATCGAAAAATGATTATGATGATTTTTGTAAAAGAAAATGAGATAATGAGTAAATAAATCAATCAGATATTAATTACTATAAATATGAGACGAAAAACTGATTAGTCCCATATTAATGCCAACAATTTTGGAAAAGTTAAATCTTGAAAATACTATCTCAATAATAGTAGAACAAAACCTTTTAATAATTTCTAATGAATAACAAGATAAGTCCTTGGAAGTATTGTTGATAGTATTAAAAACAATATCACTTGCAGTTTGTTTAATTGATTTTATAATTAATAGAATGAAGTAGAGGTTCTCATTGAACAGGATATTAATTGTAAGTTTTCATAGAAGTTGTACTCTCACCCTTAAGAAATGTGTTGTTTTCTTATTATAATGATTTGATTTAATTTTAATTTTGAAATTATCATTTTTTTTATTGAAAGAATTTCGAACAAAAAATATTTATAATAAATGAAAATACTTATGAAAAGTTTCTGGCCAAATAAATGGTTCATTTATATGAAGTTTTTTTACTTGAATACAATTGAAACATGTTGGATCAGTAATAAAATTGTTTGTTAAAATTCTAAGTGATGTGAATGTGATGCAGAGATCTAACAAACAAGGTTAATGAGCATTTTCCTTCAAAAGAAATTGTTTAGCATAATGATAATATGAGTCAGCCAAATTGAGAAAAATAAGATGAAGAAATATAATTAAAGTCAACGAATTTTTCTTGTCTTTTTGTGGTATACCATTATATATAGTTAATTCTTCGACAATAGGGAAATAATGAGAGACGAATATGAAAAACTGATGTTCGAAAGGACTTCCAATATCATTCATTGTTAAACGTCGAACTTTATCAAATATGCCATCTTGAAAATGATAAGAATTGCGTTGAGACCAAAAAAATGTTTGAATTGATATGGAAGTGAATAAATATGACAATGGCCCTTACAATGAGACATGCTGTTCAATGGTTGAGTACAGACATATGAATCAACTTGACCATATCCTCTTCCAATAAAACTATTTTGAATATCTTCATTAGATGAAAGATGAATTTTAATCCGTTCCATGATAACTCCTGTATGTATACTGAAAGTAAATTTTTTTAATCATGGCAAATAAATAAGAATATCACTATGTAATTGAATGCCATCAATATAATCTGAATCAATTTGTATGAGGAACAGAAATAATATCAATGCTTCAAGATTTACCATTCGACGAAGTAATGAAATAATATGAATCTCATATATATATATGCGTGATTATTCAAAGTTAATGAGAAGTATCTCAATTTAGGAAGATGTTTCTACAAAAAAAATAACATCAGCAACGGTTTTTTTTTCGAAAACATATTTGCTACTTGAAAATGACAATAAAATTGTCGAAACGTCGTAGGATGTTCGAAAACTAATTAAAATCTTTTATTTAATTAAAGGCTGCTGTTAATAAGTTTTTTCTTTGAATTCAGTTGTCACCCATGAATCAGTATAATTTCTTTTTTTACATGGGTATGTTGTCTATATAAATCTATTAGTCATCAATGCTATACCTATCAAATAATCTGTTGAATGAAATAGGCAAATATCAAGTTCGATTTATATTGCACCTTCTTTTAGTGGACAGAGCATATGTCTGATGTATATAGAGTTCATATTATAACACAATTTACCAATGATTCGTTTTCACAACAAACAATATCTGTACAAATAAATATCTGATGTTCTAACGAGATTTATTGGCGTATTATTTTTAGTTTTTCAATAATTATATCAAATATACAAAAGACAATAAAAACGCTGCAAATTTAGATCATTATTGTCCTATCAAAAAAATCCCATCTATTGATATTTTTAGCCTTTTGTGGAATCCGCATACATTTTCGAAGAAAATAATAGTGAGTGGACATTTAAATCAAGGTTTCTGCAGCTGTCTCTTCCATCACATTAGAGCTTTCTTAAAATTTAAATGACTGAAATACATTTTTCAATGTTGAAAATAACGTAATTTCGGATTTTTGTTTAGATAAATCATTATATGATAGATCTCAAAGATAGCTTTTTGATTTCCCGCAACTGTCATATGACAAATACAAAAGCATGACCGGATAAAGTTCTAGCTTTTGAGAATAATCAATATCAGTCTTTTTTGAGTTCGTCAAGATATATAATCGATCGTTAAGATCTGTTGTAGATATAACGAATGTGTACAACAGACGTATTTTTCCATTTAAGTCAATGGTTAAACTAATAATAATAATAATAAATTATGAAAAGAAAATAAACACTCTGCAAATAGTAACAAGACATAGAAATAAAAATAAAATTTCTAGTTGAAATGTAAAAATAAAAAGAACAGAGCATTTTGCTGACAATCGGTTATCATTGGAAAAGAACTATGGTCTTTTAGGGATTTTACACATTGCATATTTTTTGTATTAGTATAATGAAGCTAAATAAGACATGTAAATTTCACATTTCAGTTCCAAAGAGACTGCATTAATAAGCTTTTCTATTTGAAATTATGTCATGAAATCAACGGTGTAGGTGTAAATAGGAATCTTCTTTTCACTCATGCCTACACCCATTTAATATTATTTAATTGACTATCAATTAATAAGTTCAAGATTTATTTTAAATTAAGATAAACAATCTACTCTTAAAATAATTTTTATATTTGTAGAACAATATGCCAAATGACTACACATTGTCACTTAATTTTGATTACGATATCATATTTCTATAACATATAACTTAGTCAAGTTTTAAACATCTTCAATCATTACTTTCACTTGATTGGAAAAGGAAATGAAAGAAATAGCGTGTGTGTATTGTATATGCGCAGAATAACTATGATTGCTATACTTTCGCATAGCACGATACATTATTAAAAATCCCTTATTGATGACGTACGTCATACAGAAAACAATAATTATTGGCGTTGTTGTCGATTGTTGCTAGTAGCTATGAAGAAAAATAGAATTGCCACACAAGCAATTTTTTTTAGTTTTATTTTTTTAGTTTTCTAAAGAATGTCAATCATCAACATTTTTATCGATTGTTACAAGTAAAATGGGTGCAGGTTGTTGCTGTTGTTCTAAGAAAAATCAACGTATATCATCTGAATATCGTTCAATACCTCAATATACTCCAATTGGCATAAAAACAAATGATCCTCTAATACTCATTGATGGTTATCTTGATGAACCAATTCTGTCTCTCGAAGAAGCTCTTGAACCGTTCTATGGTGAAATTAATCATTTATCTTATTATATTAAAGAAGCTAAAACGCAATGTCACTATCCATCAGAACATAATCTTACTCTTGATGAATCAGCTGCTATCTATATCTATACAATGCAATGGAATGATAGTTGTCTTTATGATCATTTACAAACAGCATTAAATTCTAATGATCGATCAACAATCGAACCATGGTTCGCATATCTCAAATTATTTAAAAATGCACTCGATAAATTACCTACTGTAAAGGCGGAAGTTTGGCAAGGAGAACCATTCGACGAAGAACTTAAAGAACAACTTAATTCAAAGTCATTACCATTTTATACTTCTCTGTGCTCATGTTCACCGTCGATCAATGAAATTAAAAAATATGGACAACAAACTATGGGTAAAAAAATAATTCTTGTTGGTTACCAATCTGTAAATGGAAAATTGGTGACTGATTATACAGCTAATGACTTAGACGAAGCGATAGTTTGGTCAGGCATAAAGCTGGGAGTATCAAAATATATTGTGACTGATGCTTATCATTTATGGGTTCTAAATCCAGTAAGACAAATCGGTAAGTATTAATATAGTTGAAATCTTAACAGTGTTCATATTTTCTACTTTTCTGTACTCATTCCATAATTTGTTATTCTTTTCTTCTTTGCCATTGAGAGAATTGATTTTTTTTTCATTTTCTCTATTTATATGTAAATTATATTTAGATCATTCTCCTGGATCGATGAAGAATGCCAATATTGCATCTCAAAAACATTTCAAGTGTCCATACAAAAGTTGTGACAATCGTTGTCCTGGTAATCATAAGACTGATTACTGTCGTGGTTTTGTTGCTCCTATGCATAGCTGTCAGCATCATTGTATATCTGATCAGTGCTGTGACGAGTGTGGTCAACTGTATTCTCACCTATATAAATGTAATAGATGTGATGGTCGTTATTGTGTTGAATGTTGTTTTAAATAAATAGTAGTGAAATTGCACAACTATTGCAATAATATCAAATAATATTTGAGGAAAAAAAAATCATTAGAAAATGAATTGATATTAAGTATAGACGAAATTTGATTTAGTTGACATTAGAATACTCTCACAATATGAACGAATCTTTCATTTTAGTCATGAATCAGATAAAATACAATTTATTATAATCAAAAATGATAATAGAATAATTTTATATACCTATTCGAAGTAATAATAAACAGACTATGATTATACTTACATAATGTTAAATACTTATTTAATATTCATTCATATGTCAAATGCATGCGATAGCAATAGAGAGCTGTGGATTCTTTCACACCAGGGCTCAGTGGAATCCGACTTCACCTTATTATGGACTCGTAGTTCGCTAGATAGAAGTAAAATTAACAATGCTCTATCTTTAACAGTAGATTTCAAAATTAGAAAACCATCGTACTAAAAGCGAAAAAGTTGGTATATCAGGATCAGTAACGAAAACTAATGATACTGGTTTCTATGACGATGGCTTCCTTATAAAATATCAGGTTTTTAGCAACATCAAACACAAAGCATACGTTTTCGAAAAAAATGCAGATCCGAACGAAAAGATTGAAATAGCTGATCGAAGTTTACGAACAATAGAGCCATTGCAGGGTACGATGATACTATTAAGCCCTCCTCAAAAGTGTTCAGTCCTATATCATTATGTTTTCGAAAGATATGTAACAAACAAAAGTCAAAAATATCTCATTTGACAACTCAAAATTCTCTGTGAACCTTCATTCTCCAGACTTGATATTTTTCTTTTTGTTCGAAAGGGTATATCAGGATAAAGCGCATGACGAAGCTGTTTTTTTTTAACTCATACTTTTCAAGGGCAGAGTAGGAATGGAAAGTTGAAAAACTCTTAAAAAATGATGTTCTAATCATAAAAGTATACTCTTATCCTTCGAGAATGCGAGGATATGCGAATAAAAAAACATAAATCGAGAAAAATCGAAAGAAATTTTTCTATAAGCAGTATATTTTTCAAGTAAGAAATGACCAAAATCATTAAGAATTTTTGAAAAAGAAACGATATATCAAATAAAAAAGTCATATCATTTTTTGAAAGAGCAGGTTTCGGAGTATCTTTCCATACGCTTATCTCAATTTTCATGTTTTTGATGAACCTCTAATTTGGGGTGTGGGTATGAATCTTCTTTTCAATCACACTCACACGTATATTTTTCTTCATTATCAATTGTTATATGTTTAAAAATTGTATATAATTTTTTTTCACGATTAATATCATATTTTCTACCTGAATGGATATGTTAATCATTACAAAACTATTAAATTAGTTTTATTTATGCGATTAACAATACATTTAAGTATTAATGTTTAATCTTCAAGATTGTAATGTTTGAAGAAGTTCAATTTCAAGATCATTCTCCGAAATGTGAAGATTTCAAAAAATACATGCTGCACAGTCTACACATTTCTCAAATAATTTTAATGATGACCTTATAAAAAATTTAAGATAGAGTTATCGTTGAGTCTCGAATTAGAGTCCATCGGATGGATTCTAACCAGGCGTTGGATCTACTCGAGGGTGGGTGTGGGTGGGTGTGAGTGTGAGATGTGGTAACTTCTTTCCCGACAGTCACACCCATATCCACCCATCTACACCCACACCCATATTATAATCATTATGGCTGCATTTAACTGTTTACCTGTTAAAAATTGATGTTGTCCAGGGTCAGCAATTGCTGGTATAACAGGACGAGCATAATTCTTTTTGATATAAGGATAGAAGCTACGTATTGCCTGCCTGTAAATACTGATGATTCTCCCAAAATTGTTGATGGAACTAAAATTAAATAATGGTAGATATTTCTTAGAAATATTGCAATAGCACATACCCATCAGAACCAATATACTTGTCCATCTCTAAAATCACCGAGAACTCGTAGTTGTCTTTTACCTAAAATTTTAAAGAATAACATTTTGTAGCGTATTTGATTACTACTCACAAGATCGATGGAAAACGAAGCTCCACAATTAAAAAAACTGTTAAAAACAATATTTTGTTTTTCATATTGAATGTAATAGCGTCCATTCCACTCCTACCATGGAAGAACTTCCGAAAGCTTCAAAAATAAATTAAATAAATAATGTAAAAGCATCCAATTTTCATTATCCTATCTCTATATTTCACAAGAACTTTATTGTTGATCATAGTCCAGTGAAAAATAACAATCAGCTGTCCATTTAAAGGTCGACAATGATCTGCATGCAAATTCATCAGGTAATCCAAGAATTGGTATTTGAATATTTCCATAATGAATATATTCCAAAATCAATTGGTTATAAAAATTTTTTTACCAATTAATATGAAGTATTTAACTAATGAATAAATTGAAATTTTTGTTATTCAAATAAGTTTTGTCACTTTTCTAATTGTAGAACTTCAAATTATATATTTATCTAAAAGAGAAATAATTTTTAACTCAAATGAATCATAACATATGCAAATCTAAGGAATATTTAAATGTCTAAGAAAATTATCTTTGAATTCGTTATTTTAGATATATGTTAATAACGATTTGGATTATTTTTATAAAAAAAATAAAGTGAATTTTGAAGGATTTTATTTATTTCCTGTTAGGTCAACGTTTGTGATGATGTTATAATAGAATATAAAGGGGTTTTACCTTGATGGCCAAAGGTAACGTGATCAGCTAAGGGGGGGGGGGGGGGGGGGGGGGGGGGGGGGGGGGGGGGGGGGGGGGGTGTGGGTATGCGTGTCAGTCTTCTCTTCAACCGCACCCACACCCACACCCAACTTAGATCATCTCAATCGATATAAATAAAAGCATTCACATTAAAAAAAAATATTTCTCGAAATATCTAATACTTTGGACTTCCCAGGTTAATGATTCCGGCATCCGGATCCGTGAATTTTCGGTAGGTTGCCGCCGGAAAGATTCCTTTTTCCTAGCGAAAAAATTAGGAAAATTGTAGGAACTTGAAAGAAAGAACTCGATGATTGGATTCGGTGGTCGAATTTTTCTTGTTCCGGGCGTAACCAGCAGAGTCGGCCACCGGATTTCTGCTTTTAAGCTTCTATCATTTTCTCGAGTTTTCCGATCGGAAACAGACTGTATTTCTTGATCTGGATCTCTAGAATGAAATTAATGAAAAAATACAAGAACACAAAATTGTATATCGATTAAAAGATAAAACAAACATCACATTTGCAATCTATAAGATGCAATTTAAATATTATCTATCATTTCATCATCTAACTAAAATAATTTGTTTAATAATCAAGTCATTATTTTTCTTTCTCTATCAAAGATATTTCTTTATTGTTCATTTTTTTCTCTTATTAATAAAAAGTCAGAAATTTTTATAGAATTTTACTGGAGTTACTTTTATTTTTGATTGAAATTTACTAAGCTTAAAATTTGATATGTTGATTAATAATTTACAAAGTTTTCCTCACCGGTTTTTCATGATTTCAAAGAACTCCATCAGATCTGTTTTGTTCTCTTTCATTTTAAAAGAAAATTTGCCCAAATCGATCTAGTAAATCGATCCTTTTTTTTTGTATAAATTGAATTCCGATATTTGATTTCGAATCAATTTTCCTATCTAAATACGTCGACAAAGCAAATAATTCCGAACAGTTGTACGAGATTAAATATGGGAAGAGACCATTGAGAAGAGAGAATGCCGTGAGCTACTAATGTGAAACGAGAATATTAGTAGACTGACTTGAAGATTTGAACAATCATTTTTTCAATTGAATCTATTATCTGAGTTCGATCTTGCTCAGTAGAAGTCATAAGAACCATTGACACGGATACTGTTGATCCAGTGGCGACTCATAGTTGTAAACTGTTTTCTGTCTTTCTCTTCAAACATTAAACATTCTCTTAGATCCCTCTTCAGTAGACAACATTTCCTATAATCGTTAAAGAATTTACTGATCATCTCTATCATCCCGTTTTTTATGTTCATACGTATAATAATGATTGTCGATATCGTGATAATTTATTTTACTTCACTAAATCCACCGGATGTATTCTCCTAACACTTCATGCTGATATGTTAACAACACCATATACATTCGACTGAAAATAAGATACAACTCGCTTCATTATTCTATTGATTGTTATTGAAGTAAGATGTAAAATACATAACGATAAATAATATCTTCTTAGTGTAACGACCTAATATTAAGAATAATAAAAATGATTGATAATCTTTTTTTCAGAAATAACATGTAAATTTTCTAATATTTTACATAAACTCATTTTCAGTTATTAGCAAGAATTTTTCGTTCTCTATAGAGGCTATATTGTTTTCTTCAGTATTCGTAGACATGTGTACGTCTATAGGAAAGAAATAAATAATAAATGAATCACTTCGAGTTCAGTACATATATATGTGAAGATAAACTAAACTATTTCTTATAAATTCCGAATGAAATTCTATTGCGTCATGTTTACAAATGAGGATATGTTTTCCTTATTTACGTGATCGCATGTTCGATAGAATATTGAATTTTTTTTATTTAGATATTATTTTATCCAAAAATATTCAACGATTTTGTTTATTGTCAATCTAATCAAATATGGAGTATTTAACCAACAACAGTGGCGTACCGAGGGAGGGGCCGAGGGGGCCCGGGCCCCCCCCTCCTTGGAGAAAAATTCCCTGTGGGGGAGTACGGGTGAAAAAATTGTATCATAACTTTTATTACAAGTCCACTGCGGGCCCCCTTCTTACAAAGTTGCCCCCCCCCCCTTGAAAAATTTCTGCGTACGCCACTGACCAACAATCAAAAAAAACAATTCATTATCGAAGAATTTTCAAAAATAGCAGCACAAGGTCATCAAACAATTGATCATAGAACAGCAAGTAAATGCAGTTATAATCATAACAATTGAAGAATTCTTTTTCTTCTAGCATTGTTATTAGGAAAACTTGGATTTGATGTAAAAAATAGTCGA